CTCATGTGTGGTGTTAGGGAAATTTTTACGTTTGCAAAACTGACCCAGATTTTTGGCGTATGCAGCAGCAAAGTTTTCATAAATCTAATTTGCTTTTGCCACAAGCAGGCATGACGGATTTTATTAGCAGCCTTGCTTGAGTTGTGAACTTAAAATGCGATGATTATACTCTAATTAGAAATAGCCCAAAGTTGATATTTCTCTGTATCACTTAAAACAAATGAGCTACATTCGAGATGTCTTCTACGCCTAATTTAAATATGCATGCAAGGAACGTACAAGAGAAATGTGCTGCTACACGTGTTCTTCAAGTCCGGGTGGATTGTTCCTCTGTGTGACTTACAGTAACAGTGCAGCCACATGAAATATGAGATGAACAAGGCAGAGAAAGAAACGTCCTCAGAGATCTTCCACTATACCAGTAACTGAGGAGCACGTCTCTTCATTTCTGTGGAGCCAGAAATAGCAAGTCATTAAGAGAATGGCAGGTGATGGGCAGATTAGTGGGGCTCAGCAGAGGCGATACGTAATGAAGACACTTCAGCCTTACAGTATTCTTCCCTGTACCACTCACCCATCTTAGTCCCTTCATCCCTTGTTTTCCTTTTCTCATAAAACTTCAAACCACTTGTTTTTCTCTCTTTCTCCTATTCTCTTCCGGTCTTTCAAGTTGATGCAGAACTTTGGGGACACGGTGCGATGTGAAGTCGAGGTGTCTGAGAATATGCTACTCTCAGCGTGGCTTGAAAAACGGAAAGGAGAACGCACGGCTCCCATGACAAGTTACAGGAATTATAGAAATAATGAGCGCCCCGTATGCTGTGATAATTTTAATGAACTTGCTGAAAAGTGGTTTTATTGCACAACTGAAACACATCCAAGGGTGATATTTAAATGCACACTTCTCCATCTCCATCCTCACAGGGCTGCGATACTAATATACAGCTAATACTAATTAAGTCTTTTTTTTTATCCCATACATTTTGAGTTTTATATTCCAAAGCAAGTTACTGTATTTTTAATTAATATATGCGTACACAGATAAAACCATCTGTGCTTAACCCACATGTCATCTTTTCAAATGATAATATTAAATGATGAAATATTTCCTCATTTGTCCACAGATTTAAAATAATGAATAAAAAAAACTTAATTTTGATAGAAAATGACCTAATTTGCAATCACTCCAATTAGGCACAAGTGAGTCATATGACATTTACAGCGGAAATTCCAAGACGCCTGCAGTTATATATTTCACAAAGCTCTAAAGATTTAAGTCTGTTTTGCTGTTACCCTCCGAGAGGATATGGTCTTTGTGTAAAAATACCCTGCATTCCTGTTCTCTACAGTCATTGGTCAATGTTCTCTTTGTGCTATAAACTGTGAAGCTCCAGGATCCTAATGCTGCGTGTTTGTATGAGTCACCCACACAAGTGAATGTACTGTATGTGTGTGCACAGTGTATGGTTCAGCTTGCTGTTGGCTACAGGTCCCTGATTACAGTGGGCTAATAAGGCTGCTAACATTTGTTTTTTCAATTTCACGACATGTATAATGAGTGCATGGCATTTGACTATAATATACAGTTAAATTGAGAATAAAATGAAACATTCTGTTACCTTGAATAAAAATGACAATTTGGTATTTTTCTGGTCTTGAACATTGTTGGAAATATTTTTCTTAGATAATGAAATTACACAAGTTAGAATGAGGAATTGTTTCATATTATATATTTCAACAAAGAAAAAAAATAGTGAAGGATAAGCTCATTGTCACAGTGTTTGGCTGGCAGACTTTCCCACTGATGATTCATGCACGTGTCAGAGACATGCTCATGTAAGACTGGTTTTGATGTGAAAACACAAACAATATAATTGAGTCTCAACGTACAAACACACATGCATCCAGTACCCACACATTTTCCTACACACACCAGACGTACTGCAGCTGCATTTGTTTGTATGTCACCAGGATGAACTCTGCATTTTGAAGTTTGCACAGACTGGCGGAACTTAGTTTTCTGACATTCGGGGCTTGGGGAAAAGTATGTGTACATTTGGTTCTTTGGATCTCATGTGCATCATCTCTTATTTACTTGGTTAGATGATTTTCTTGATGGCAGATGACAATTAGGGAGGATGTTCCAGAACTGTGGTTTCTGACTGTGGGCTGTGATACAGTCTTGGTCCAGTGGGATTCCACTGTTGTGTTCTGCTTAATAATCTAAATCCTCTTAATCCCCTTTGGCCCACTTCAGTCCTTTGATTGCTCCTTGTATTTTTATTACGTTATACTCCATTTTCATAATCTGGTCCACAGCCCTCGCATGGTGCGTGCTGCAGAGAAAGAAAAGAGACGGCCTAACGAGTGCTGTGTGCTGCTCTATAAGGTCATTCAGATTACAAGGGTCACTCTCTAATCCATAAAGCTGGGTATGTCTGCAACCAATTTGGTAAAAAAAAATTCTTGGAGAAAAACATACTGTAGGTTAACCTGGCTGTGGCCTGCTACATTTATGTGCATGCACAATCATTATGTGTTTTGTGTGTGTACTGTAAATGTAGCTGAGCTAGCACGTTGTTTTTGCTCACTTTGCCACCTGGGAAGATGTCCGCAGGCGACAGAGGACAGATATTCACTTTGCTCAGTCACCATGGATCATGCAACACAACCTTTCGAGGGAAGTAATGCATTCAGCGATAAGCACAACAAAAGGCGGAGGAAAAAGTGCACTGTCAGCAGCCATCAAGATGGCAGAGTGTGATAGGCAAGTCTGGCTCAGTAATCAATCTGCACATGGACTCTATGCAAGGCCACAAAGTGCATTTCAAAGTCTGCTGCTTGGCTGGAAGGAAATTAAAAAAGAAACAGGCTTGGGAACTGGATGAAAAATGCAATGTGATGATTGCTAGTATCTCATAAAATATCTATCTGTCTCACACAGTCAAACAGTTGTTAAGAAACAGGGTTTTACCAAACTCAAAGTCAGTTTAATATTGCTGGTGATGTTATGTTCCATGTACAAAGAATTGCTTAAAAAGTTCAATTCCACTAAAAACTTTAGGAACATTGGTATGTGTAATGTCTGATACAGCATCATTTAGATTTGTATTATTAGTCTCTATAGCAGCGATTTAGCTGCTTTACAGTTTAGGTAGTGTTTTCCCAGTGCTGAAATATAGGGACCTCTTCTGTAGGATTTTCTGCCATTCATTCAAAACAGGCTTTTTCACTGCATGTGCAGCTCCTTAGAACATCCAATAGGAGCGCCCTCTCTCTCCAAACTTCCCTGAAGTGATAGTGACACATACAGCTATGATTTTTACATCATTGACCTGACTGTCATGTGTCCTAACATCATACATTTTAAGAGTTATTCAGCAGTAAATACTGAATACTAAGATGGTATAGATCTTGGAGGCTGCACCTCTCTGTCTCCCCTTATTTTCCATTTTCTCTATCAACAGCCTGATGCCAAGGGTAAGATATACATCTGTCTAATTTCTTGCTTGTCAGCTCACCATCTGGTGCTGTGGCAACATTAAAGACAGGAAAAATAGTATCATACTATCAATCACAGACACAAACACACACTAGTGCAGAATTCATTAATTACTAATACCATCGGTGGTGACATCTTACAGGCAGATTGGTATTTTTTTTGTTTATACATCAATGTGATATTTTGTCAGGTTCAGTTTGACCCTGCTTTCTTATCTTATACTGTGGTTAGAGATATACAAAAGATAAACAGTTAAATCACAGTAGAAGAATATCTAAAGAACCATGTTATGATGTGGCAATACTTTGTTAGGTGTAGATAAAGATCATGTTTTGGTTACTTCGTTAAAGTAAGAGGACCTTGGTCACACGCTACATTCCGTGTAGCAATGAAACATGCAGAGGTCAGAATTAACTGCCTCCGCAAATGACCTTTGAGAGGGGAGAGTAATTATCAACCTGACTTTGTTTTCCCTGGTGTTTGTTCACTCTCAGCGCTCCCATCATTAGAATTCCCTGTAACGATGAAACCACTGCACGCTGTCTGCTCTGCACAGCAGATGGACAAAGTTAGCGACTAGCTGATGAACATAATGAAGCATTTAGCTGCTTAAGAGTCAGATATAGTGCTCAAGAATTAGACCCAACACATTGCATATAGACTGAGCAGACACTCACTAGGTGGCCAGTAATTCCAAATGAATGCTAACATGTCAGTATGCAGCTGTTAAGAGTGAAAAGAGTAAGTCTGCCATGACAGCAAATCTTTGAACGCTCTTCATAGCCTGCCATGTTCCATTAATAGGACTGACATTTTATTTTTGTACTCAACAAAGACACACTTGAGGTTTTTAGATGAGATGCATCTTGTCTTTGTGGACTGTAACAGTACTTATAAGAACAGCTTGAAGACCTTAATGAGCAAGAGAGATTTTACTTCTACTTCTTCATAAACTTTGGAGGCTGGTCAATTTGTTATTTGTCACATCTGAATAGCATCAATATTTTTTTTGACAGTAGGTTCACAGGAACGGCCTCAGAGCTAAATAATGTTTTCCTTCAGGTATTCCTTACAATGCAAAAGAATCAAGAGCTGAATCAATGCATTCACTCATTAAGGCAAACAAGAATAGATATATGAGAAGCTGTCTTGATGCCTTTTGTTACTCCAGAATGTCTGTTGGCCGCATGCTGTTAAATGTATGACCTCATGCAATTAGCCTATGATAAAGTGAAAAACTGTGAATTACCTAATAGACAGCTGTAATGAACACATGTTAACATTTGACATTGTTAATGGCTGGTTTTGTAATACCTGTTTTTTTATGTTGTCTTGTGTAAAGCACTATAAGAGGAATACATCAGAAAAGAATACGGGAAAAAAGTACACTGTTCACTATGGCAAGCATCTAAAGTTCCTGTGCACATTAACACACGCCATCAGTGCGTTTGCTCACCTCTCAAACGCATCTCTAATTTGTTTCCTAATTCTCTCGCAGGTGACGGAGACACGGACGGGGCCACTGGGATGCAGCAGCTATGACAATCTGGACTCGGTCAGCTCAATCCTGCTGCAGAGCCCTGAGAGCAAGCTTCATCTGCAAGGTAAACAAACCCAGCCCCATCAATATTTTCAACAGAGCCGCCCCATGATGCTTGACATAACCAGCCAGCGGGGTCAAACTCCATTTTGGCCTCGAGAATCAAAGGCGATCTGCTTATAAAAGTGGAATCAGGGAGAAAAACGGTTTGTGCCTTCTCAGAAATTCAATGTCAGTGCATTTTTTAATTGGTGCTGGGACTGGGATGGATCTGCTTACCGATCCCCTCGAGGGATTGTGATGCGATTCTCAGAGGTTATAGATGTCTGCTCATGCTCCGACATGATTGTCCTACATCTTTTTCAAAGCTTTGATCAAGGATGAGCCTGAATTCAAATCAGTTTTATGATTTGTGCAAACAATTTACAGACAACACTGAGAGAAAGTGAGAAAGCAAGAAAACACAATTTGTACGTATTGTTGTACTTATCAAT